CCCCAAAACCCCAAAACCCCAAAACCCCAAAACCCCAAAACCCCTATAAATATTATTTATATTGAATAAGTGGCAACCATGAAAAATGTAATCTTAAATTACTTAAAGGTTTTGCCTTCTTCTATCCATCGGTCCATCTGGTCAATGTAGGAGTTGAGGTTTTGGAATCCAAACTGGTTTTCTGAGTCAACATATTCACCCTCGTTGATGTCTTCTTCAATGATTTGATCTTTAGCTATTTAAATGTAAATTAAGGACAATTTTTGTTAATTTTTACCTATATAAGGACTCCTCTTCGATTTTTCAGGGAAAGAAGGAATCTCGTTAAGACAATTTCCATCCAGGCTACTTTCCTGAGGGATATCTTCATCAATGTTGTTGAAATCATCATTTTCTTTATCCTTGCTGAGGGAATCAAACATCCATTCTTCAAGAGCACCTCAGTCGTCCAGGGGCTCCTTACTAGGACTCTCCTCAATTTTCTTTTGTTTTTGTATTTTCCGATTTTTGAGGGTGTTCAAGAAGCTACTGAGCCCGGCTGAAAACTGTTTGGAAAGCTGACTATCATCAGTTCAACCAGTGGTTGTTTCAGGAATGCCACTGCCCATGAGCCATTCTTCAACTTCTTTCCCTTGGAGTATGAAGTCATCATATTCCAGATCTTCGCCTGATTGCATCTTTGCCAATGTCTCTAACTTGTCCTTTTTACTAAGAAGGTGATAACTTCCGATTATAAAATTGGCATTGGCTATTACCGGTTTGTTCTTAGTAGATTTTTGGTTAGCCTCATCATTCAGGACCCCTTCAGGAGAATTATTGCTCATAGTCTCGATTATTTTATTAGAGATCACGTTGTTCTTTGGAGGAGAGTGAGATCTTGCCCTTCTTTGAAAGGGAAATATTCATTTGAAACTTTTAATAGCCTTAGATTCATCCTTTTTAATATCTCCAAGTAGCTGTACACTTGTAGTGTTCCTCTCTTCAGCAAGGTCTGAATCTTTTCTTAAAGAATTATCTTGATAACTGTTATCAAAAATCTGACTAGAGCAGTGCTTCTGGCCAAAATTAGTGCTATCCATGCACTGACTAGAATTAGGAGTACTTTCGAAAAATTCTGTGAACTTGTTGATATCATTGAATGCTTTGAGAATTCCATACTTTTTCATATCTTTCATAAAAGTTTTATCTTCTTTCTTGACATGTTTTAGTCTCTGACTTCTCAAGCTCATAATATTTTGGCTGGGAGAGCCGAACCTTGAGCCTCCTATCTTCTTTGACTGGATTATGACGTTCTTAATGTACTCAGACTGATCGAAATTTTCTATCAAGGAGCTGGTGTATCTCTCGCTTGCAGCATTATTTTCATCAATATCATCTTCGATTAGAGCATCAAACTCAGGCATCTGGTTCTGATTACTTCTTTGATGAATGTCTAGTGATAACTTGTGGCTGTGGAACCTGGAATTATCCTTCTCCTTAGTCTTGATGCTGATCTTGAGCTTTCTCCTTCCTGATGATTCTCTCTTTCTGTTCGAATCAAGCTTCTTGTGCTCCTCAGCCTTAGGTTGAGGAACTCTAGGGACTTGAAAAGAAGCAGGGGGTGGAGCCAAAGAGTTACGTTTGGCATTTAGTCTGCTCTTAATCTTACTTGGCTGTGGCTGTAGCACAAATCAGAAGTTCTTGCTACTAATATTTGGTTCATTTCGACCAGGCTTCGATGGCTTGATTTGTTTCTCATGACCCTTATTTGCAAATTTAGGGGCCTTAATAACCTTGATATTATTTAGATTCTCCAGAGGAGGGTTTCTGTAGCCTATAGTTTTCCTTTCAGAAGTTCAGGTCATGGGAGCGCCGTGATGATTTAAAGGTTTTGGATACCTTTTTCTTCTCCAAAAATTGCTTTATGTGCTGAGGAATCTAGAAGAATTAATCCTGATCAGCCAACATTCTGTTGCTTTTATTTCATAAAATGATTTACTTATTATTAATTGTTTTATTTATGAAGAATTTCATAAATTTTAACTAAAATGTATTATGAAATTACCTCTATAATCACCGAAAAATGTAGAATAAGCAATAGATTATATATTTTTAATATTTTTGCTCAATACCGAATCGGTACACTAATCCAATGTTTTTTTACCTCCAAAAACAACCTCCCCCTTCTCCCCCTCTTCACCCCTCTTCACCCCTCTCCACCCCTCTAACCTCCCTTCCAACCCCCACTACCTCCCATCCCTCTCTGACATCCTCCCAATCTTACCTCCTTCGAGTCCATTTAAAAATTTAAATATTATTTCCCTTAATAATTTTCTACATCCTCTTCGTCAAACGGGGTTTTGGGGTTTTGGGGTTTTGGGGTTTTGGGGTTTTGGGGTTTTGGGGTTTTGGGG